CTCTCTACACAACACGACACATCACATCCTTGACGGCACGAGTGTGTGCGCAGGTTTTGGACATGCACCGACAAAACCAGTGTGTAGCCTCTAGAAAAGGCGAGCACACTTTCCCTCCAGCTGCCTAAAGTCAACGCTGCCTCTCTGAACTGTAAGCGATCAAACTGAGCACAAGTTACAGCTGAGACACAGACAGCTCGCACCACACCTCAGCAGGCACATGGTTTTGATAAGCCAGCTGGGTGCCAAGCAGCCAAAAAGAAGGACTAGAGGTACGGAGAGGAGAGTGGGGGAAAAAAAAAGGCAGCTCCTTCATATGGAGAGGAATACCATGGTCGAGAAATAGACCAGCTGTTTTCCTTTTTCCCTTCTTTAAACATTCAGGTGATTTTCTGATGTTTTTAGAATTGTGATTCGGAGGTCACTGCTGCCAGAGCAGGCAAGCTGTTCCCCAGATGAGCTCCATCTCTCCCTCTCTCTCTCTCTCCCGCTCCCTGTCCCCCCTCCCCCCTCTGTGGTGCATCTCTCCATCTCTATGCTAATGCCCCATAATGATCTGAGGCACGTTGGGATGAAAGAAGAGGAGAGAAACTTGTTCTCCGCACAGCTTTGTAGTGCTTTCTGTTGTTGTTGCTATAGAAACACCGAGCTGGAACACAAATTGACGTAGCAATGCTTATTTGCATGGCAGGACAGCGTGGTTTTCTTTCATACAGGATAGAAAGAGTGGGTGTAAACTATAGGAAAGGAAAGGTTGTACTTCACAGCTATATACGCTTTACAATCCTATATGCCAACACATTTCTTCGTCATCAGTTGTCGCACTTATGCAAAGAAGATGCTGAAATTCTAAACGTGAAAGCAGACATTAATAAGTCTGTGTTGATATACTTTTAAATGCTAGAATGATCAACAAACACAGATAAAATACACATCATAAAACGGTGCACACACCTCTCAGGATCTGACACATGGAAGGCATTTTGAGCAGTTCAACTTATTTAATTTCATCATCCATCCTCCCATCTTCACACACACACACCTACGTGCGGTCTTGCTTTGACTTTGAAGTTCTCCTGGATCGCCTTTAAAGGCCGTCAGTGTTGTCACGACAGCAGGCAGGTAGAAAACATCAGACTGCTTAGTGTGTGTGTGTGTGTGTGTGTGTGTGTGTGTGTGTTGAGCCTGAGTACTTAATTAGCCGAGAGCCCGATGGGCCACTTGCCGTTTCTCAGTGTTTAACACTAAACGAGGGAATGACTGGCTCGTTACTGATACTAACAACAAGGATAATTTATGCATAAACGGATCTGTCTGCTGTGTGTAAGCGTCGTCCTCTGTCGCCGGGCTCACAATGACAAGCACAAACAATAAGCAGGCGCAACCATCAATGTCCTTTTGCATCTTTACTCTGAATACTAAACGCCTTAAAACTCAGAAATATGTTTTTATGCTGTTTCACATTAACAGAAACACAAAGGAGCAGTAATGAAAGCCATTCCCTACAGCTTAATACAATCTCCTGTTTGCAAAAAGAAAAAAAGATTCATCCCTGTTTTTAGAGGCCACTTAAGGAGTGTTTGGCTAATGCAGAAAGTGCCTTGGGGGCACTGATGAGGACCCAAGAATGAAGCAACTACAGCCCCTCTCAACCCATTCTGTTTAATCCACAAACAGTTGAAAAACCTCTCGAGAGGCTGATGGCACTGTGACTGGCCTGGGCTGTGGATGTCTGGAACCGGAGCTGTTGTTGAGAATGTTGAATGGCAGCTGAGCTTACAGCCACGTTTTCCACATAGATCCGTGTTGGCTTTACTCGACTGCACTCACTTAGAACTGAAAAAGTATTTTTGTTCTACTTTGTTTTTCTACTGCGAGTGTAGACGCTCACTGAAAGGCCGGGTTCTTAACTGAGCACCATGGCACAACTGTGAGAAACAACTGCATTGTGTAGCCAGCAAGAACTTTAAATAAATGTACTTAAATGTGTTTGCTGCCAAAGTGAACCTCAAAAATTCATTCAACAATAAGTCATCACCACAGAATTGTGACAGCATTGTGACAAGTCTCCCTAGTTGAAGGTTTTCTACTAAAACCTTGCCAATAAATGTTTGTTTGCAAGTTAGTGTGCGAGAGTTTGATCCCCTACGAACTTGTCTCATGAAATAGAAGTACAAAGAATTTTTCTGTTTTGAATTTCTCACCAACCAATTAGTGGCTGCTTGTCAAAAGTAACAGAAAAAAGAAATAGGAACTATCCAACACTGTTGTTAACAGAAACAAAACAGTACCTGTTCCAAAAGAGTAGAGTCAAACTACAGACTGGAAATGTGGCAAAATCCTGGAGGACACATTGTAGTCTTACCAGGGAAACTGTAATCTGCCTGAGACCAAGTGATGTGGTCCAGTATGGGATTAATTACTCAGTGGAATGTACTGAGTGGCTGGATGACTGATTGGCTGAAGTCTAGGCTGAGTGTGCCCGAGTAGTTCTGCAGGGAAGGGAGTAATGGAGCTCAGGGGTGAGAGAAGGAAGCTAAGGTGGTGGTGGGTCTGTACTCCTAGAGGAGTTCATGTGAATACAAGTGCAAAGGATTAGTTCAGTCAGCATCTGCAGCTTGAGCATTTTGAGTTGAGGTATTTCTCAAAGTGCTTCCACACTTGAAGACTTCCTGAAGTTTTCAGGCTGAGCTGCATGTGTAAACGCAAGCAAGACAAAGTTTTCAAACTGAATTTACCTGGACTTTCTCCCGCATGATAAATATTCCTCATGAAGTCTGGGTGAATGGATGTGAGAACGTCTAATATTCAGGAAAGATTCAGGAAAATTCACCGCAAATGAGCAAGAGAGTGTGGTGACGTTTATCTCCTGCGACCAATGCACAAAAATAGATTTCATGCACATGACTGGTGTGATCTCCAAACATGGAAATAAACTGCTTCATGATGTTTTCTGTCCACCAGTATGTTATCCTCGTGAATGTGTTGACCTACAGATAGGATTGATATCAAGGTGAAAGTTCTATTATAACGTCATATACTGGACTGAGGAGCCTCATCGTCTGCCACTTTCATGTTGTTCTTTTTTCCATCATGCCGTGCCTCCTGAGATCCTCCCTCACCCCTCCCGTCCGATAGAGATAATCTCCCACTATGAGGGACGTGTGAAACAACCAACTCAGGAGGGTTTCAGAGGCAGTCCGCAAGACATTTTCTAGAAATGTTCAGGAGTGTTCATGTGACAAGAGAGTCAGACTCTTTCATTTACTTCTGATTTCATCCTTGTAAAATAGTTATGTGATTTTGAATGCCAGCCCATAATAAAGGCCTACACACATGACGTTACAGATCTATAATTAATGCTGCTACTTTTTAGTTAAAAAGTTCAGACTTCAGCACTCTAACACCTTATTAAAAGAAGCCAGAAGCAAACATTTGCACGTGTACATCCAGAAAACAAAAAGCTATTCTGTATATATTAGTCAGAGTTTCGGATGAATTTAAACCACATATTGTCTCCATCAGCTTCTAATGGATACATCTGGCTCTTTAGATGATAAATACTCTAATCACCAGATAGTTGATGACGGTAGATTCTTATTTGTTCCCTTCAAAGAATTGCAGACGCAAGCTCGAGCCCAGCAGGATGAAAATGAATCAAAACAAAATGCTGAAAAGCTCTAAAATGCTTAACAGAGCTAGGGAGAACTAAAGGGTTGATAAGTTGATCATATCTGTGGGTTCATCATGAGGAGCGAGCCCTTTATATTATTTATTTTACATTGATTAGTGCAGCTTTGACATATTTCAGCTAAACATTCCTTTAACTTTTCCTTTAATTTATACAATCAGACACACCTTCTGAGTGTAATGCTTTCCTTCAAGACGACACAAACGCCTATCTCCCATGAAGTTCTGATCTGTGAGTTTCCAGGCTCTCATCTTGAACCGTACTACGCACAGTTATAAAAAAGAAGAAGAAGATCAAAGCGTGTTCAAGTGTTGGCTTGTTAAAGCCAAACTCCACCTTTAATCAGAATTCATGCACACTGTTTCCATGATCAAAGTCAGCAGACGTAAACAACTCTCTATTAAAGTTTGAGGCCAAAAAGTCAGGGCTCAAATGTTTGATACTGATAATTAGAAATGAAATGTTCTGCTAACATCACATATGGTAACTTTGTGACCAAACGGGTGAATCTCAGTACAATCAGTTAGAAAGCAGAACATCTGTCCTAATACCCCTCTACTAACCCCAGGCTGTATTTACCTCTGGTATTGTGATTTTATGATATTCTCTGATTACAATCATTATTACCAGTACTTAAAAAGCAAACAAACACACAACACGTACCTGAAGTCTCCCTGACTGGATTACAGCTAATAATATATCTAAAAGCTGTCAGTTGCACACATCTGAAAAACACTTGTTTGCCGAACTTCTGATGGTGTCTGACACTCAGACGTTTTGGTGTAGAGGAAAGGAGAGAGAGTCTCAGTATAGTGTTTACAACATATCCAAGAGAGTGGATGGAGTAACAGTCCAATGCATTGATGACAGTTTCTGAAGAGAAGAAAAGAGTATAACGCTTCTTCACTAAGCACAGGAAGATCAAACCAGTCACGCAGAAGTTGCAGAATTTAAACGTATACGACCTGCGTTCACACACGGGCTCACCCTGACTTCTTGCGCAAATCTTACGAGGGGGCTGGCAGGAAATAGTTTGGGTGAAAATGTTTATCCTTTTCCGTTCACACATGCAGCTCATCCCAGAGTTTTGTGCATGCATGAAAAAGCTACAAGCTTGTTGTTGTTATAGTAACATAATAGATTTAAATTACTGTAAAGCTCTATAGATAAAACGCCTTTTACATTGCCTTACATTGGATGACATACTCAAAGACTGTTATACTATCATTTATAGGGCAGCAGTCTCCCAGCAGACATGTGTAGGGAAAAAGGTAAAACATGCATGTTTTTGTATTATTTCTCACTGTACCTGAGTGCATCTTCTAGTTTAGCTATCTTCTTCTTAGCATCTGTTCTCTCTCTCTCTGCTTCACTCTGGATAACCAAGACCTGAGGAAGAGAGGAGAACGAGAGAGGGGGGGGGGGGAGAGGGAGAGAGAGAGACAGGGAGAGAGAGAGAGAGAGAGAGAGAGAGAGAGAGAGAGAGAGAGAGAGAGAAGTGTAAGTGAGTTCAACAGCAGACACCATCAAGCATCACTCAACAAAACTCTCCTGCCTGTGACCCTGAGCATCTGCTCACGTCTCTTCTCTCTATCACCCCATCAAAAGTAGCATCTGAGCCTCTCTGCCTGCATAGAGGGCCTCTCACTCTGGATCTATGGCAGCCATATGGGCTCTTCTTATGTCCAGATACCGTACTCTGGCCTCCTGAACGTGTTTCATTTACCACTCCTGAGGAGTGGAAAGAGGAGTCTTTCAAGGGGAAATAAAAGAGGAGAATAAACGAGTGAGCCGTTTTCATCTCGTGTCACCTTGCAGAATGAAGAAAGAAAGCACAAATTAAATAAAAATCGACTGAATAAGAGTAAACACAAAGACATCTTAACTAAACTGGTGGCTTTCTTTTGGAGAAGCTTTCTTTAAATTGTCACTGACCCTGATAAAAGTGCACAGAGACCTGCTAAGTTCTTGCAGGTGTATCCGACCAGAGGGGCCCGTCTCTGGGTATGCCAGCCTGCCACCAGTGCACATATTAAATGTGGCGCTTTGAAGATGACCCAGGTGCAGCAGGTCTTTAAAACCCGTTTTTCACCTTAGACGTCTAGCCTTCACTGATCTGGTCCAGCTCAGATCAGTAACAATGGTCTCCTCACTTCATGGTTTACAGCTGCTCTATGGCTTTGATGAGGGTCTCTCAAAAGTAAAAACCTGAGTGAAGGACCAATTAAATGCGGGCCTGGGTGCACTGACAGCGCCTACTTAAGACAGAAAAATGCCCCCTTTGAATGTCCTCTTTTACCCAAGTTTATCTGGATAAGCCTACGACTTTCTTTCTCAACTTCCTTTCCTTGATAACTCTTCTGCTAAATTATAAATCCTCCTCTTTCTTCTCCGTCCAGCCCCACATCTACCTGTTAATCATGGCTCAGATTTTACTAGACCAGACATAAAATCTAAGAGAAAAGGGAACCAAAAGGAACATGTGACTCCAGGGCTTTGATCTCCACTTGACCGTAATAACTTTGTCCAGGGCTGTTTCAATGCAACGACAGAAGCTATGGAGCTCAGTGGCTCAGATTTCCCTGAAGGAGAAAGAACACGCTACCTTTTTCTCACAGTTGATCTGCAGTTCATCTTTTTCCTGCTGAAACTTTATCCCTTGATCCTGAGAGGAAGTAGAAATGATGACACTTTGACACATCATGAAATAAAAGTCCACTATCACTTCAAGCTTTCAAAGCTGGTTTTGCTACATTGAAACAAATAAAAAAAGCATACCATATGGTCTTAATGCGTTACATGCAAACACAAGTGTGTATGCACAGTTACACATGGAAAAAAAATCCTGACTCCTACCCTGACTTGTTGGTGTTTTCGATGTTCACTGTCCAGGAGCTGCTGCTTAAAATGAGCTATAGAATTCTCTAAGTCCTCGATCACCTCAGAGGCCTGGAAGAGAGAACAGAGAACGCAGTTTCATTTGGAGCCTGATTGAATTTGGTGTCAATCAACATTTAGACTGCTTGTAGACTGTGTTGTGCTGATGCAGATTGCAGACCTTAGCAGCAGACAGTGCATGCTCCTGGTGCAAGTGGCTCATGTCAGTCTCATGTTTGGCTTGGAGTTTCAGCACAGCATGCTCGTGTTGCTCACTTTGCTGCTCCTTCTCCCTCTGCAGAATAAGAAGTCTGTGTGCATTTGAGAGCATCATAGTATGGTTAATACAAATACTGATGTTTTGATATTTAAACATCACCAATAAAGAGCTACATTATTAAAGCTGTTAAGTTTTGACTTAACACATTTAAAGGGTATCTCGGCATCAAACATTTACGTAACAAAATAAAACTGTATTGTATAAAACTGCAGATGAGGATAATTCTCCACGTGTCATTGCTCACTCTTTCACAGACCTTCTGTTGGCCTCTTGCAGTTCAGCACTGATGGATGCAATGTGGATCTCCAACTGGGCCTTCTCCTGTGTCACCTTCTGACGCAGCACGTTGCCCTTCTCCACCTCCACCGACTGTTGCTTCACCCGCTGCTCCAGCCCATGCATCGTTTGCTCCTGAAGTGTTATTATAGAAAAACACCTAAGTCAGGTGCATGCTCCCATACTGAAGAGTTCAATGTTCAAATATAGCAGTGTGATTTACAAAGGAGTGGCCCACCTCTCTGACTTTATCTTTCATTATATTACTTATTTATTTTGAAGTCTCAAGTACTTCACTTCAAAGCATTAGCAACTCTTGGACTTAAAATAGACTATCTTGAACAATCACTTACCAAAGACCCAGTCTGCATCTGTAAGGTTTCTAGTGCTTTAACTCCAAGCTACTATTTCCCTTAGGTGTCCCATTTGGATTAACTCATTTATTAAGACTGAAAACCTCAGAAGTGTCCAAAGGACAAAAGTCGTCAGCCCTCTTCAGACCGCCTGTTATGCCCTTGTTACTTCTCGCCTTCACCATGAATGTTGTTGAAAGGTAGTAAGAGAGTGTAAACTTTACTGTATTTGAACATCAGGAAATAAAATCAGTGATTAATATCCATACAATGGATATTGGCCACTGCTAATGATACTCCATTGGCTTATAAAAACAATAATCCATCTGATGAAGATAAGGTCTGCAGGCCCTGATTTCATGGAAAAAGCCCACTCTGAACACGGCCCCTTGCCATGCGTGACTTTGTGTTTGTGTGACAGTATGGAATGCAGCATGGGCAGCCTGATAAAGGTGATGACGGGGTGCTGATTAAAGAAGGAGTGTGCTGGCCCATTTAGTCGATGACTGAGACAGGCGATGACAAGATGTGGAGTGAGGAGGGAGCGGTGTTTTTTTGAAAAAAAAAAAAAAAATGTATAAGAGCAGTGCCGCGTCAGGCTGGTGAGAGAGATTTTTGTCATTGTGTTAGCAGTGTAGAGTGCTAAGGAAAGAAACAAGGGGCCTGTGTTGTGCTGGGACGCGTGCTGACACTTAGCTCTCTGGCAGGAGATGAAAAAAGCCTTTCTCCAGGCTGAGGCTGGACCGAGCACACCTGGACACACTCAGAGGGAGAAAATTACATCCCCTAATTAGGTGTTTGAGAAGGAGAATTACAAGGTGTGAAGAGCAGACTACATAAGCTTCCCTTCAGAAACTGAGAAGTGATAGACTCTTTGAAGAGGGAAAGAAATATGTCATTTTTCTTTTAAGTCATTGATAGATGAGCTTTTATGTTTTTTTTTGTAAGAAATAATGCGAGGAAGTGAAGCTTGTCAGGCTCTGTGTATGCATGCTCGTCTTTTATATGAAAAAAAAACAATAAGAAGAAAATGAATAAAAACATTTACTCATAATTGGGTCCCTTTTGGAGGGGACGAATGCTTTTATTTGTATCATCCTTACTACAGTAACTCTCCCATATGATATTAAAGGAGGTTGTACTCAAATATAAAATGTAAGACTTAATTTCTGTTATAAAATGACAAATAAGTCGAGATGATCATTTTTCAGTTGTCCACAGATAATGTCCTACTTAAGCTGATATCTGTAATTTATTCCCAACTTTAAACTACACAGATTCTTTGTTATTATGGAGAGGAAAATATTGAGGATGTGTTTGTTGTCGATTGTTTATACAGGTAGTTTGTCTTATTCATCAAGACATCACATCTCTATGTCTCCTTTTGATGCCTTTATTTAGAGATAGTACAGTGGATAGAGTCAGAAATCAGAGAGAGAGAGAGAGAGAGAGAGAGAGAGAGAGAGAGAGAGAGAGAGTGGGGAAAAGGAGCCACAGGTCGGATTTGAACCCCGGCCGTCAGCTTGGATGACCATAGTTTCTGTACATGGGGTGCGGGCACTAACCACTAGGCTACCTAGTGTAATATTGTTGTAATATTTAAGTTATTTGGTGCTCATACTGTACATTAAAATACAAAACCTGGAGAGTATTTCAGACCTTTTAAACCTATTCCTCGCAACAAACTAAAAAAACCTCAACAATCAGCAAAGTGCTTTAAATGAAGGCGTATTTCTTCTACCTCATCTGGAACAATCAGACAACATTAATCATGTCTCTATTATCAGTCATTTGGATATGGACATGCATGGACTGCAGTCAAAGAGTGTTTCTGGTCCAATACCCAGTCAGACATCGGCTTGTCTTCATTTTCAAACACCTACTCAGTCACTCTATCCTCTCTGCCCTCTGCATAGATAACGTCCAAAAATAACAACATCTGACATATCTGTAAGCCCCTTGTGAGATCTTTGATGCGCGTCGGATAGAAATACAACCAGGTAGCGATGGGCAGATGAGCATTCTTCATTTCACCGTTGCCCATACCAGATCAGTATTTTTGAATAAACATGAATCATCAATCTGAGTTTGTCTTGGCTCGCGTTCTTTATACGTGAGCCGAGTGAACTTTTCACACCGTGTCCCACATTTCAACTTTTATCAGAAGCTACATCTCCCCCTCATCGTAGGCAGAGAAGTAGTCATGGCCGTTTACTGAACACACTCGGTTACTTAGTCTGGTGGTACCTCCTGGGTCAACTCCACCCATATCTTGTTATTATTTGTAAAACTATACTTGTAAAACTTACAGCAACAAGTGAAGAGAGCCAGCCAGACCTTTTCACAATAAAAGAAGAAGAACACTGATCCTGGAGGAGTGAGAGATACAAACCTCTTAAAACAATGGCGTCGTATTAACTTTCCTAAGATATAGTCCACTTTGAACACAATTGTGAGTGTGTGCGTGTGGGTCAGCCTAAACTCTTAGCAGGGGAGCAGCTAATTTACAGTGACAGAAGGCTCTTTTCATCCTTTGTGGCCTTGTCTGTCCTTAATTATTAAAAGAGGGGTCTTACCCGCGGCCCTGCACTGTCCAGTGTTTGATGCCTCTTAAATGCGGGCCTGCTGACAGATTAAGGCCAGAAGCAATATGTGTGTATGTGTGATACCTATGACAGCCCATGAATGTTGATACTGATAACAATACTGTTTATTAAAGCAGCGCATTCTGCTGGCCTCTGGTGTTGATGATCCCCACTAATGAAATGTGCACGATCCTACTTAAAACCAAAAGTCCTTTCATGTGACATCAAAGAAACTGTTGCTTTGGGGAGGTGTGTGTGCACAACCATTGCCTCAAAAAGGATTTAATACACACTTGGATCAAAGACCTTCATGAAGATGACAGATGTAAGATACGAGAGCCATTCTCACCCAGAGGTAACAGGATATTTCCTTTCATTTGAGCCATGGAGTTGCAAACTGTGGGTCACATTTTTGAGTTAGAGATGTGTACACCTTCATTTTAGTTCAACAAGGCCGGACCTTTATGCAACAAAGCATTCATATGGTAACCAAGAATCCTGTTTATTCTTTGGGTTTATTATGGTGTCTGGTGAAAAAAAAACGATTTTTGCCTAACAGCAGGTGAATGAACTTTCCAAAGCTGCACTGGTGCTCGTTCCCTTTTTTGAGAAAGTGATGATCACAGACTGAGGAGCTAAGTAGTAAACATGATGTGCAGCGGCAGTGTTGCAGAAGCCAATATGCTAGCATGCAAATTTCAAATGTGCTGATGCTTTAAGAATCGAATCGTAGTCAAGTTACCACAAGCACAAATCATGTTTATTTCTAATAATGTTCCCACCTCCATGCTGTAGAGACATTTTAAAAATAGGATATCATAATGACTCTTACTGAGCTCACATGAAGTGACACAAGGTATTCCTCTTGGTTTGGGAAATACAAACACATGTCTCTCTGTGTCTTAATCACTGCAGACATGAGCCCTGTAATGATTGTATCTGTGTTGTTGTCTTTGTATTCAATTTATATCTATATGGGGCGCTGTTAGCCTAGTGGTTAGTGAGTGCACCCCGTGTACAGAGGCTATGGTCCTCCAAGCAGGCGTCCGTCTGTTCCTGTACTCACAGTTGCCTGAGACCGAGCGTTGTGCTCAGCCTCCATCTTAGCCAGCCTGTGGTTGGTGTCCTCCAGCAGCTCCTGGATGCTCTCAGTGTGTTTCTTCTGCAACTCAAACTTCTCCTGCTCCATCTCTGTCACAGCGGCATGCAGCTGGAACAGCACGGTACAGCTACATATCAGTCACAGTTTTCTCCCCCACCCCTTATATCTTCATGACATGCTTTGATTTTTTTCTTCTTCCATGTAAATGTATTTTTTAAGTCATGTCATATCTTGCACATTCATGTGGAATAACAATCCCTTATGTAGCCAGGCAGGGTTTTTCATTATTACATCTGAGGAATAAATCTTCCACAAGGTTGCTCATCACATGCTAAGTGACCCAAAAGAGTTAAGTAGAAATTTCATTAAGAACGTATTGAGCCCCAGCAGCAGGGTAAGCTAAAGCTATCAGGAGTTAAAACACAATTTACCCAGGCCAGAGAGCATTAATTTTTCATCACTCTAAAACACACACTAACTTAAGAACAGCATGAAAGAATAAAGATTTTTCCAGCAGTATAGCCAGGTCTGTCTGCTTGCAGCTAAGTCTGCCAGTCTCATGCTATCAAACAGTCTTCCTGTGGCTCAAGGCAGCTTGCAAGGGGGTTGAGCTGCAGCCTGTCCAAGCCCTTCAACTTCTACCTCATACCTTCTTCTCCAACTCGTTTTTCAAGGAGTCGGCGCCCTGATCAGACATCTTCTTCAGCTCTGCAATCTGCTTCTCTTTGCTCTCGCAGATGACCTGGGATTCCCGCAGCACACTTTGAACTGCGGGGAGAGCACAAAGACACACACAAACAGCAGTCAGGCTCTGCCCCAGGGTGTGAACATAGATGGACCCATGTCAGTAAATCAATGGCAATATCGATTCTGACTCGATCGAATGGCCAGTAGCACCTCTCTTAGTCAAGTTTATGTTCTTTTCTTTTGTGTCTTTGAAGACACATGTGAGCACAAAGGACAAAAAAAGCAGGGAAGGGGATGCGTAGCATAAAGGAGAAAACATAGATAATGTGATTAAATTTGAGATTGAGCACACAGCTGCAGAACGTCAGCCTGCACCAGTTCAGCCTCATGTGGACTTGTATCTCTCTGGGCTCTCTACGCTGAGTGTTCTGGGACATGAGTATAAACATCCTTCCAGTTAACCCTGCAATCCTGAGACTTCTCACCTTTCTTCTCCAGCTTATGGATCAGCTCCTCCGATTCCCTCTGCTTGACCCGGTACATGCTCTTCATCTCCTCAATCTCACCATTCTTTCGATCAAGAATCTAGGGAGCAGAAGGGAGATATTTTGAACACCTACATGAGAATATTCATCCTTTTTAATACTAAGAAGAATGGGGTAATCTTGCTTATATTATGATAGGTTCATGTTTAAGTGTCTTTTTAGAGCATTTTAGCCCCAGCAGTAGATATCACAGATGTGAATCCAGGATCTGTAAATTAAAATGTGTTCAAAAAGAAAGTTCAGAATCATTGCTCAGGGTCCTTAAAGGCTTAATTGCCCTCAGGGGCGTGGCCAGACTTTTTTTGAAAGTACATCACCACAACCTCAAAAACATAGTTATTTTTTAGAATGTATTTATTTTTATGTGTTCATAACGTTTCAGTTTAAAGAGTGGTTATGTCTAAATGCAGATGTTGTCAAATAAATGAGTAATCGTATTTTATAATCGTGATCTCAATAACAATCAGAAATAATCGAGATTATGATTGTTGCTGTTATCGAGTAGACCGTATATGTAGCACATTTATAAGGCCTCATGGATTAAGAAAACGTTTGTGTGAAAATATGGAACCCCAGATATTCTCAACGTAAACAGGAACAGATGTTTGTTTACATGAAAACAAAAGAATGGTCAAAAACTTATTCTAATCTACACACTTAATTTTTTCTCTAAATGATAAAAGATTTAATTAGATTATTAGTTACATATTTCCCACTGCCATAAAAGCCTTATGCCCTTTATTAGTATCGTTAAACAAAAACAAAAAAGCTCTTTCATTTCTGTATTTGTCCCATTAGAGGTACATTGAACATTTTGTAGACATAATTCACTGACCGACATGACATGACTTTATCTTCCACACGTCTATTCAATCCTAAGGAGGCTATGGGCTAACTGAGTGAAATGGCATCTGAGTGAACACCTGTGCTGAGGTGTGATGAGGTAACTGCATCTGCTTGCTGCTGCCATCTGTGAGTCATTAGTTAAATTAGAGTATGGAGAGTTGGATCTCAAGTATTAAACGACAGTCTAGCACTCTCCATGTTGAGATAAGGGGTCTATACATGTGCACGTTATACAGTTAGTCTAAAGTCTTCAGCCAAATGCGTTGTCAGGCACACTGTGCTTTTTGCAAAACAGTTTATTTTAATACCATAGTTAAAACCAACCTTTCATGTTCTGTAGGATGAATCCATATTCAACTGTTTTTATACCACAGAACCAAATCCACTCTGCTTTTAAGGTAAACTATCCAATATTAATGTTGTTAAAGCCTCTTTTTAAGCATACCTGGTGATGATTTTGTCATTTTTATCAGACAGAAGGTAACAAAACAAGTCCAAAAGCAGGTGATGTTATGTTTTTTGGCTGAAAAGGCAGAAAGAAAAGAGCGCTGATTTTCCATGAAGGACTGTCCCAGAGCCCAAAAGACTTCATCTGTGTCGCATTTTGTTCTATTCAAGTGCACTTAGTCACCAAGCCTGTCATCCTCTTTGTGAATGGGATGGGGGAGATGAAAGGAGGATGGGGCAGCTGGAGCAAAGTTCACAGAACATTTAGGGATGCCCAATTTTTTTCCATTTCACCACTGGAGAGATTGTACTCTTTTTAGGGGTCCACCCAGCAAGGTGATGACAGACTGAAAGGTCAAGGGAGAGTGCCATACAAGGTGGGAAATGACAGTGTTTAGGGTGCCCATTTTAGGCTTTTATAAGACGCCCTAATGCAGGGGGAATCCTACATGGCTGTACATGACTTTAAACAAAACCAGTGAATGGAGAACGCAAAAAAAAGAATTGAAAAAGAAACAAAAACTATGACATCTTGAGTTACAAACTCTGTGTGTTCTGTATGCAGACAGAATCAGTAGAGTTTGAAAACAGCTATGAATCACCATTCTGAGTACACGGTGGTCATCTGCTAATCTCAAGTCATTTACATGTTAAGAATAACAAGATGATGAAGCGATGCTCCTTCACCTGAGGCCATTAAATATTTGAGCAGTACACACAGCACTGATCCGCAGCATTTAGCATACAACACTCAGGCCTGTTCGCTCATTACCTTCTCCATTTCAAGCAGCGGGACAATGACCAGTAGCCTTTCGGCAGCCTATTCATAATTCATGAGGAGACTAATTAAAACTAAAGCTAGCTTGCCCACCTTCCATCAGGCTCGTCAAAGAGCACCCCTGAATCACTCCCCTTTGAAGATATAAGAGTGAAAACTGAGGAAAATTCGGAGGAAATTAAATCGGACATAACTCGCAATCTGTATGTAATTAAAGAGAGGGAGAGCGAGCTAGCTGTCATTCTGTCTCTTGTCAAACAAAGAAGCAATGGGCACCTTCAAGTGGAGAGAAAATTGGAGTGTTTTTTCCCAGCAGTTTTATTAAAAGCTTCTGTGTGGCAGCAAAGGAAGCGTGACAGATCCCAGGTGCTTGATCTGCAGCCTAACTGATGGGCACCTAGTGTGAAATAAAACAGCTTTGCTGCCATTTTCACCAGCTGACAAGAGGCCTTTGAAGAGCTGTTAATTTGCAGGATTGGGCGATGAGAAGAGGAGAGACTTCGCTTCTTTCCTTTTCATTAGCCAGCAAATGGAATCAAGAGACGATGATGGGTATCGTAATGCAGGTTAACTAGTTTATGTGAGCGCCCGAGTTAACAAATCGGCCTTCAAACTCTCCGAGAAGAAATAATCTAGTCCTTTGAACCTTTATTTATGTTTTATTTTCAATATTTAAGATTATATTTTGAGGATTCTGAAGACATATTTTAAGTGTAGTTTCTTCTTCTTCACAGCCAAATAAAGCACTGGAGGACTGGGGTTGTGCACCATTCAGTATTTAATGTAGCGCTCGACCAATATGGGAGTTTTGGGGCCGATACATAAACCGATATTAGGAAGAGAAAAAATCTGATACCGATAAACAGGCTGATATCTTGCTCTGATCTATGCTCAATGATTGATATAGATAAACACATTTATTGCGTCTATTCCTCCAATGCAGTTATCAAACATAGATAATCAATATAACGAAGACAAGATGGTGACTCAACTGGAAAGAAAAGGTGATGCACACATGTATGTGCAACGATGACAATGCTTGTTGTAATCTATATAGCGCCCTTTGCTGGTGAAAGAGAACTGCTAGTGTAATACAATCAAAACTCAAATGAATGATTTCTAAATTGGTGAATAAATCTTGTAATATCGGCACATATCTGTGATAAAATTAGCCGATACCGATAGTAGCGTATCAAGCTACTATCAAGCCGATATTATCGCCTGGCCGATTATCAGTTGGGCTCTAATCTTTTGTAGATGAATGAATAAATAAAACACTAGTGCTGTTTAAAGAGCACTGACAAACATTTAGATTTTAAGTTAAGTCATTAATATTCAATAAATAGTTACCAGATTTAGATGTTTTCTATTAGTTCTCAATGCACATTTTTCTTCTTTTTCACCGTGATGTTGTTTCTCCACCATCATTACAAATCATGGAATAAGTGACATCAATAAGACTCTTTTACACGACAAACTCAGACTACAAAATGGCTAAATATCCATCCAAAGATGGAAACTAGTGCTGGTAGAGAATTTACAACCTACTTTCTCCACATCTGCATCGTGTCTCTGCTGCAGCCTCAATTTCTCCTCCTGGTGCTTTGCCTCGAGGACCTTGATTTTCATTTCACTCTGGAAAACAAAACAAAAAGAAAAAGTTATTCTTTCCTTTTATTGCAAAAACAACATCTACTTGAGGTGATGATACATTATTTATAACCAGGCAAACAGAGCAACAGCAGCTTTTGTTACAGGATGTTCAACATTTACATTTTTGTCTTCACATTTTGTTTTAGACTTGTGCTTTGGAAAGAAAAAAAACAAAAAAACATCATCCACAGTGACAGGATAACAGAGATAGCATAATGAAAGAAAATATAGTGAGCCCTGCCCTACACAGAAGCACAGCTGATGATGAAATAAACCACATTAACATTTAAAAACATTTATCCAAGTGCAGGGCTTCAAAAAAGAGTGTGAAGACAAGATGTACTCTGTGTGTGTGTGTCTTTGCCATCAGATTTTCAGTCGTTCTAAAGTGACAGTGTGTGTTTGTTTGTGTGTGTGCTTCTGCCTACACCTAGCAGTTATCATGAAAAGTGGCTGCCTTCATTTGAACACAGTTTTCCACAGGATCAAAAGTTCAGCGTTGTCATGTGCATGTTGGAGCAGATCTCAGTAAGCCAGAGGGCTTCCCAACTGAAGCTAAATTAAACCATAATGACCTTAATCACCTTCTGTAATTGACTAAGTTTTGATTCCATTTTCATCTTGTATGGTCTCTTTAGACTAAACGAGCTATTAGTCATTTGTCATTACTGGAAAAATAATGAACACATACCGGCTTGACAGTGTTATTCAAAAAGGGCTTGGTTTTTCTTTTTGAAAGGCCTTCCCTTTGCATGACTGCATTTGTCTGCATTGAGCCAATAATAGGACATGACTGTTTTTACAACTGCATGAAGTCGCTGATAAGTTGAAGAAAATTTTGTGTCAAAAGTTCAGCGAACAATTTCTTGAGCTGAGGACGAACATAGAGTGACTTCAACGGTCAGCACACACGGGGTAACAAAAGTGAGAAACATTAAACGGGAGAGAAATATTTTCTACTCTCAGAAGGAGAGCTAACTTTTGACTGCGGTTGTCAGGTTGCAGAGAAGAAGCTCAAGTGGTCATGTTAAATATCACGAGTTGATCTTCTTGTACACATGAATATACTTAAAGATCTGAGACACTGTGGTAAATCATTTACTGGCCTTCCATCTTATAGTCTCAGATGAGTTGATAATAAAGCGAGAAATGAGGAAGACTCAGTTTGTGTCTGTTATATGAGTTTTTAAAGATGGCAGATGCCCGTGCACCTGCTCATGTGTTTGACCAATAAGCATAAGCAACATCTGGAATAATGACTGTATATTATGTCACTCGATGTTCCTGATGTGTTTGGAGAGTACCTGCTCTGTAACAGAAGCTAAACATGTGCCTCTAAACAGTCTACTAAGAATTCAGATACTTCAGAAATTGAAAAAGAAATCAAACCAAATAAAGGAATGATCCTCCAAAAGCCATCCTAAGCCACATGTGTAGGCCATGTCCCAAATTGACCCCGTTCTGGATGGGTATATTTGAAGCCTTTTTATACACGTGTTATTGATCCTCAGCTATTGACTGCATTGTGGTGTAGTCCAACAGGATCCACCACTCACAACTTCAAAGGGGCGGCTAGAACCTTCTCTACTTTGTTTACTAGACTTTTGATACTCCCTTGTTGGAAGACGGTTGGATGACCATCCCAAAAGCGCTTGGGTGGAGGAGGTAATGACCCTTATTAAACCTGAACAGCTTACATGTGTTGCCTTAGGCACCACCAAGAAGAATTAAAAGATCTGTCAACCGCTTCTGTCTTTGTTTGAGACCAAGTTCCCTTCTATTATTACACAAAGTCAACACCCCCTCCACCCTTTTCCCTCAGTTTATTTATTTCTATATTTTATTTTTCATTTATGAATTTATTATTGTAACTGTATACTCATAGTAAAAACAACAGTCCCTGTGGTCCAAAAAGAGCACATTATCATATGCTTCCACTCATGAACACACATGGAAATTGAAAGCGAACCTTTGACAGACAGACGACTGGCCGCTTGCTTTGATGTCACTACTCATGTTTAGTCACTGTCTGTTTCGGGTGTTTTGATCAACCCTGGAGCAGGGTGACAATGTTCCTCCTTTCAAAGGATGGTTGTGTGTGTGTGTGTGAACATGTCAGTAATTAACAACATCCCGAGGCTAGCTCTTGTTTTTTCAGTCATCAAAACAATACATTTGAAAATTCCCACATTACTTGGCACAGTCAAACCACATAAGACATTCACTCGGTTTAAATGAAAGAGAAGCAGCTGTAATGATGGCCTGTATAAACACACATTCAATTACAGTATGTTTTTTTTTCCATATAATAAAACAGAAATTAACAGCATGCTGGATGGTAGACAAAAACAATATCCCCTTTTGAATTGAATTGGTGGAGTGTATTGAACCAAAAGAGCACAGTATTTGTGAGGATGTCAGCAGTTGAGGATCACTCAGGGCATCAGTGAAAATAAAAGTCTAACTAAAGACATCATAAAACTGTTGTGCCTTATTATTGCACTTCAGCTACATTTAAACGCTGTATCCTTGACAAAGCACTACTAAGTATTCTGTCTCTTTTGTCTTTGTCTTTTTTCTTGGTTTACCACCATTTCTAGTGCAATTCAGGGGACCACAGGAGACCTGTCAAAGGATAACGTACAAGAAAAGAGAAAGAGAGAGGGAGCGAGATGGCAGTGATTGAAAAGCAGAAGAGTAAGGGGAGACCTGATTCTGCCGGCGCCCAAGAAAGAAAAAAAAAGACACATGTGGGGGTGTCACTTTCTCATCCTCTCTTCAAATGCTCTTTGGAGAAAGTTTGTCAAACTAGATCAGGGGTGTTTGAAACTTGTTTATAAAGGCGTCAGTGAAGGAAGGAGGAGGAGGAATGTCGTACACCTAAGGCGTCTGAGATGCCTTCAATCAGCCCGACTGGGTGGTACAGCTTTTTTCCCTCTTCTCTTCTTCAGAGTTGTAGCGAGCGCTGTAAGATGCCATGTTTTTTGACACTTCGCGCTTGAAAGGATGAGAGGGAAGAAGGTGGGGTGCAGAAGAGTGGGGGGTATGAGAGAGGGAGTGCGAGGAGAAGACGGAAACAGTTTTTTTCAGTTCTGATAACCGGCGCGGGGTCAAGGCCTTTTTCCTCAGGGGGATGTGTTCACAAATCGTCTGCTAACTGTTTGGGCTTCACAAAGCAAGGTTACGTTTGTGCATCTGCTTCGTCTTGCTTGAGATGTACAATGTCCTGGCGTGTCTTTCATCCTCAGTAAACACAGATGCTCTATGATAGTCAGTATGCAGAGCGGTGGTATCTACTGAGGAGCAGCTAGACGCCATTTCCACAGTCTGACAAGAAGTCAATTTACTGTTTTCTGTTTTGATAGTGCGGTAAGATAAAAAAAAACTTTGGCTAAAATTGAATCTCTGACAAGGCGGAGGAGGGTAGTTCAAAACATAGACTAAGTAAACAGATTTTTACACAAAATGGCTGATATGAATACATCAACTACATAAGACTCAAGTACAGAGGACAGAGAGGCTTGAAATAGTAACTTTATCATCATGGAAGACTGTTGGTCCCTTGTGTTTCCCAGCCTGAAGCACCATCTTGAAAGCCAAACTACAGAACCAGCCTCCTTTCAACTACTGAGGCTCAGCAGCTTGCTCTTTTTTAGCTTTTAAAAACGTTCAGATAAGACAGGGTATGGCCCTCTAAATCACAGGCTGAGAGCTCAAGCTCTGTCCCAGAGGATCCTTGGATTAGAGAGACTGGATCATTATGGCAATGGAAAGCAAAGGGGCCTGATCCCCAGTCACAAGCTTGTGACCATTAGAGTTTGACTGCTTGATGCAAACACGCTCATCTACCCTTGCTCCGCCTGCTGCCAACAGTCTCTCAGGTCAGGTACCAAGGGGCTAGTTTTAAAACAGCATGAAACCCCCTCGCACACAGACTTGAAAAAAGAAGGGGCGGTTTAATCAGCCAGTCAGTATCTCCATCTTTAATCACATGACTCGAGCCTGTGGCTAAGCCCGACTCTTCAGTCGGCATTTAATTGAATTTCCAAAGAAAGACCCAGCCCTCATAATGCTGAGCGCTGCTAGGGTGTGTTGGTGGATTAGCAGGACTTTGCTGCTCCTGCGAGACATTTTCCACAACTTACCCATACGCAAACACACTGTGTAAGCTAAGTGACTCAAAGTAATGTCAGCTTGTGGTGAAGTTTTGCAGCTGCCACTCATTGTTCCGTTGGAAAAGAGCAGTCAGCATTCTTATCAACACATTCGTTAGCTTAGCAAGAGGATGAGCTTGGTGTGAAAGCTGAGATGTTCGTTAAGCTGTCGCAGGCTTAATGACATGTGGCGTGCATAACGCTTTAAACCTGGCTAAATTTTCAACTAGGCTTTGGGGATTACAGAGAAGTGATGTCACTGTGATTTCCTAGACTGGGTCTAGACTGCCACGCAACAGCAGGGTTGGACAAGGCTTCCATGGTTCTGCAGGAGAGCTTAATGTGGCTCTTGAACATGACACGGTTAAGGTGGAACTGGTGACTTGAGTCACTTCTATAATAACACTGTGTGTGGGTGTGGGTGTGTTCGCAGCTGTATCCTACGAGGTTCCGATTTTCTGAAATCCATCACTTACTAATGATTTTGACATACGATAGATGATCAGTGGGAGCATCTTAAATGGTAATAACAAAAGAAAGAGGATTCTTTTAACAATAGCATGTTTAACACAACAAGCAAAAGTAACAAGGTTTCAAAGAACCATTCATAGAAATTAATTGCAGCAATGTAGCCGAGTTTGAAATACTTTGAATAAGGGCAATAGAGGGCTCCATGTTGATGATGGAGACCAATACCAGATATCAGCTCAGTGAGTCCCTGAAGTTAATTATAACTTTGTAATGCTTACATGAACTTATAATAATAATAATAATAATAATAAATTAGATTTATATAGCGCTTTTCTAAATACTCAAAGACGCTTTGAC